AGAGAGAGAGAGAGATAAGTTTCCATCAATCTGAAGTGATTCTGATCTTGAAAACTGTATGGTTAATTAGATATATGAGATTCTGATCTTGAAAACTCTATGGTTAATTAGATATATGAACACTATACAACTGCAAACATTACTGAGATGCTGTTTCTCAGATATTAACTTATACTATCAACAGAGAAATCCATAATTGTAGGCTTCTAACTCATGTGCCTTGTCACTGTAACCTGAATTGATGTTTTCCTGAAACATTATCATCACACACTTGTCATGGTCATGACTTCTCTTATTAATCTTGTTACTTTTTTGTGGATTTTTTGTTTAACTCAGGTTGTTACTTGTGGTAATTTTCCCCTTGAGTCCTCCTTTCAAAAAGTCCCTAGATGTGTCTACACATCTACTAGCTTGTATGAGTACAGGGGATGGGACTCAAAGCCTGCCAATCCTACGCACCGCCGCTTTACATGGGGACTCAGGTCTTTGGAGGTTAGTAAATTTGCCTATACTATTTTGATTGTTCATTGACACAAACTGATTCCTTTTCTTTGTGATTAAATTTTTTTGAGCCATCTTGTTGTTCCATGTCATCATTTGGTGGCTTTAAGTCCTATAATTACTATTCCACTAATCATGTTTAGCAAATTAGCAATAAATGGAATGATAATATGAAGTTTTTTCTTCTTCATTCCCTCTAAGAGTATGAAGTTTGGTTTGATTATTGCATGGACTGCTTCCATACTATAGAACACTTGTAATGCACTAAGCATGTCTGGTTCAGATTTGAGATTCAAGAAAGGATCGGCCTCCTCTGTGCTTTGTTGTAATAGAAGGCTGAAATGAAAACTCTATATAAACAGAAACGTATTGCTGTTGGTACTTAATTCATCATATGCCCTTCTGCATAAGAGTTCATGCTCTTCTCTTCTGTACTTTTTGTTACTGGTATATGGATATCAATTATTGATTTTTGTCTCTGCATAAGTTCTTGGCTTCTCATATGGTCCAAAAGTTCTTTGTTTGCAGAAAATCAATATTAGTGATTGTTTTCTTTGCTTCAGCATTGCACTCCCGTAATTCATACATCTTCATAAACTTATTAAAGAAACATGTATGCACAAAGAGTATGTGTCACTTGTGTAACTACAAGTTCATGGCTTCATTTAAGAGCCAGAGATGCTTTGCATCTGGGGGAGATTCAGTAGTGATTATTTGCCATGCTTAAAATGATGTTATACTCGGCTTAATAAGTATATAAATCAATTGCAATGCCATTGATCACATATAACGGGTGTGTATGTAATTCTTCTTTCTGATATGTTTCTTCCATGTAAAATAACATAATTGAAAGGTGAAGATAAATAGCGTTTAAAATTCTATGCATAATTATTAGGTTACTTACCTCCATTCCCTCTACAAAACCATCTTCACAAACTCTTAAATAGACTGGGTATTAATGTTGCAACTGTGGTGAATTTGGCAAGTTTTATCAATCAGTGGGTTTAGATATGTATATTCAGGTGTCTTGATTTTCTTGGAGTAAGTCCCTGAGTTTAGTAATTTACATCTGAAAATGTGCTGTCCCCATGATGACATTTAGAGAAGTAGAGCTGTGAGAAGGATAATGCTGTAATAAGAGCTCTAAAAGCTAGTCTGACACTTTCAATACAAATTACAAAATTTCTTACAATTATTGAAGTTTACTTAGAGAAAATAAGTTTGTAGGCTCTTGACCTATTCATATATGTTTTAAAATTCAACTTTCTCCATATCATTGCCCAAGCGTTGAGATCCTCTTAACTTTATCCTCCAAATATAGTTGCAGTACTGTTGTTGGGTTCAAACACCTTGTGTTATGTGGGACTCCTATAACAAATTCCGACTAAGCCAATTTGGGATATATCATTCAACATTGTGTACTTAAGTTCTGCTTACTATTTTCCTATGATCTAGCGAATAAATTATATTTTTGTTATCATCTAGGGATCCATTATTTTACTTATATTGGATTTGTATATTTCATATTCACTATACAATCATTTCATGTTTCCTACATTTTCCCTTTAGTGGATCTCTTTCTGTAATATGATGTATTTCATCTTGGGTACTTCCCTCATTAAAAGTAAATTTATCTTTAGTCGGGCTTAATTAATAATCTGTGGTCAGGCTTAATTAATTTACCTATAACCCTGTCATTGTAGCATTTCTCCATTATCATTTTTTTGACATCTGCCACCTGGCCTAAAAGGCGTTAAATTTCTTGGTATCTCATCCCACTGACTTCCACAAGTTTAGTTCTATTTGGTTGCTGATGAAGTGTTCTGCCATGAGATGAAAGAAAAGACCCCAGCGTCCCAGCAGCTGGATTCCCTTAAAGGAAATGTTGAATCTACTTGAAAATGGGAGATATTCGCTTAGAGAGGTGGAAGATCTCTGGTGTCATAAACAGTCTCCTTCCTTTGATTGAAAGCTTCTAGGGAATGTATCCTTCATCAACATTGGCTTTATAATTCCAGAGTACTACCTAATCATCTATATTTGACAGCTCACCTTGGTGGGATTGGGATCCTAACATAGGGCATATTTTGGTCATAGATATGTTGTTATGTCATTGTATGCATGCTATACGTTAGGGCTTTTTAGTGCTGTATTGTAACTATGTAATTTGCCCCAGCTGCACTTTTATCATTCAAATATTGCTACTCGTATAAAAGCCATGACTCACACATGGATCAAATTCATTTTCATTTCCTGATTTTATTGTAATAACAAAGGTGTCAAGAACACATGATCTGCATGCACTGAGGAAGTTGAAGGAGACGCTAATGAGATAAGCCAACCATTTGCACTGTTTAATTTCTATATCTACTTTCAATTCATTTAAACTTGGACCATTAGTTTAGGATTTTTCCAATTGTACCAGGAAATAATGCTTCAAACAGAAGATGTTTTGGGACTGTTTAATTAAGTCTAAATTATAGTGAATATTTATCAAATTTGTCCTTTCTAGAAACTTTTTGGTCCTTTTCTGGTCTTCTTTCTCCATCATGGGAGACAATAAATAACAAATGCAATAAATACAGCTGACCAGGCATATCCAAGGAGAAATCTGGTGGACTTTCTCGAAAGAGGAAAAAATAAATCTGCTAAACTTTGAACAGATGAAAAATGATCAACAAATTGGGACTAGCTTTCACCTGAAGAGGGAAGAAACATAACAATGACAATAATCATCTATTACTTTCTACTACATGTGTGTTTTCTATTCCGCGTGTCACTCTTGTGGGGTAAACATGATAATTAAGAATCATAGAGACCCATAACATGGAGGGTTGGTATGATTTTTGGGGAGAACATTTTGCCAATGCGTATTGTAGGCTTGCTAATCGAAGTGTTCTTAGGATTCTCTTTTGTTGCAAGATGGCCATCAATCATTGAGACCTGTTCCATGGAGGGTTGCTATGATTTTTGGGGAGAATATTTTGCTAACGAGTATTGTAGCCTTGCTAATCAAGGTGTTCTCAGGATTCTCTTTTGTTGCAAGACAGGTTATATGGCCATCAATTTCAAAAAAAAAAGTACAGTTTATATGTCCATGTTGTGCCTTTTCTTTGCTTTTTGTTCCCTTGTACTTCTTACCACTTTAATTCTTTTTTGTTTAACCAAAAAACAGAAAAAAGGGTAGCTAATGATATACAATACAATATCATAAAAAAATTGACATTCTTCCATTGAATCAGATCTGGGTACTTTTAATTGGTTCATTATGTGGGCTTAGACGTTCTTTAGATCTTTACTTCTTACATCATATCCATTATACTTCTTCCATATATCCATGAATGTCTGGAGCTATTATCTAAAAGTCTGACATGATATCTTGAGGCCTATTGGGTGTAGATTCCGTACATCAGAGGCTAACCAAATGCAAGAATAAAGAGTTCTCCCAGTTTCTTCACAAAAGAGGGGCAACGAAAGGAGTGATCCCTGTTTTTGAGAAGAAATATCCTAAGCTTTAGTGGAAGAAACTGTGCAGAGCAATAGGAAACATAAAATCAGCTATCGCTATGGATTATGTCCTAGTGATGAACAGGATACAGAAGTCCAGGCCATAGCTACATCACATATCGGAGAAGTATATTTTTTATAATTAATGATTCTAATATCGTAGGGTCCATAAGCTATTTTTATACAATTATACTAAACTGCTGCAATCAACAATAACATTCCTGCACACCATTATGTCAATTTTTTTCATTTGTACTCTTTTCTCCTTGTTCAAAATTGATGCACTTTTAATCCAATTGATAATAACTGGATTTGAGTTTGCATGTCCATCTGCATTATAACCACCGCATAACACATATTCTTTAGCTGATCAAATTTCTTTCACTTTTATATTTCTGTGTTAGAGAAATATTCAACAGTACTGATGTTCCATGAGATGATCATGACATTCCTTGCGTTCCAGCTGCCCAATTACTTGTCAAATTCTCCATCTTTCATATGGATAGAGTCTTGCTGCCAAAGTAACTGCATAGTCAATATTATTATCTGATGAGCTTTGTTATATTGTTTATGGATATATTGGTTTCATGGATATATTGGTTTCATGCTATTTCTTATGTTTGAAACAACCACCCTACATGGATACTACAAGGTGCCGGAACTGTCAATTTCAATAAACTGTGCATCATATTTTTGGCATACCAGTTAGCCAGGTCTCAAACTTAGATTCATCTGGAGAACTTTTAAGAACATTAGAAGGTCTTTTCCTAGCCATTATTCTGATAAGGTAGAAAAACTGATGTTGCCTAGTCTGTAACTTGTATTAGTTGGAAAGTATTGGGTTCAAAGTCTCAGATATGCTATTTGCTTATGCCAATGAATGTACCCTTATAAAAATCTTTCGCAATGTGACTCCCACTTCAGAAAACTGAAAATGACCTCTAAATAACCATGAAAATTATTAGGTTTATAACATAAATATTAAATACTTGTATTGCTAGTAGTGTTTACTTTGTTGTTTATTGCAGAGGCATCATTACGTAATGAAGAATGCCACATTACCAAAGTAGTTGTTGTCAATTATGTGACTATGAAAACTTATGTAGAATTTTCTTGTTTCATTTACAAGCCATTGGTTTCATATGCTGTTCTTAATTATATATTAAATAATTTGCTCATTTTCATTAAAATATGTTTGAGATCTTGTCGAAATGTTATTGAATGGCATATTGATTGAGAATAAACGGAAGGCTATTTGCACAGAAAATCATTTGCAACTACTACTTGGATCCTTGCTTATGTGTGAATCCTTTGTTTTTAATTTGGAAGATACATGGTTCTTATTTATTTTATTCCACCTTCAATAATTTTGTTTTATTGCAGAGACATGTGGTCGACTTTTACATCTCAGATTTTCAGTCTGGTTTACGAGCATTGGTCAAAGCTGGCTATGGAGCAAGAGTCACTCCGTATGTGGATGAAACTATTGTGGCTGACATCAATCAGAACAACAGGGAATTATCTCCTGAATTCATGCGATGGCTGGGGCAGAGAAACCTTTCTAGCGATGATCGCATCATGCGGATGACAGAAGGGTAAATCTACTACTACTTTGGTTTTCTGTTTTGTTTTTTGTTTATATATATAATTTGTGGCATGATTCAATTGGCTGATGCAGCTTATTTTTAGCAGGAGGAGGTTATTTTGCAATTTGACATTTTCTTGTTTATTGCTTAGTTATGTTCCCTTTGAAGTTGACTGTGGATATAAGTTACCACGACCTTATTTTCAATTTATTGGTTTTGTGTGATCCTGATACCGGTTCACAGGGCACTTGATGTGGTATTCTACAAGTTGGTTAGTTTTCAATTCCTCCCTGATGGTGATTTGCATCAAATTTTAATCAACTCCAATCTCAAACAGTCAAGACTGAAATCTAAAAAACTAACGAATGAAAATACTCTTTATAAACAATTCTCAGAATACCCTTGGTTGTAAAATTGAACCATAGAATCATCCAGTAAATTGAGTAAAGTTAAAGGACTACCAATATTACTCTATTCTTAGAGTCTTGAGGATGACCAAAACATGATACATTCCTGCAAACTATAGAGGATCCAAGAGATTATGCATCTATTCTTTTAGCTTGTTTAACCATTCCATGGAAAAGCTTCCATATTAATCCTGTGACCATGTGGCATATAGTGAACTAGTCCAATCCCAATCTAGCTCAAGTTATGGTTTGCCATTCAGGAATCATACTTTGCAGATAGAACCAAAGTAAAATAAATTTTCCTTTCATATGGCACCTGTTCTATGGCAATATAAATAGTGTCTGATAGCATTAGTAGGCAAAACATGCATAGCATATCGGCTTCAAGTACTTTAAGGGCAATATTCCACTTCCAAAGGTCACATCCACACATCTATGTGTGTCGCCACATTTCTATCTGAAAGGTGAGGGGCTCACCAGTGTCTTCTCAAATCAAATTTTTGTATATATAGTTGAGTACAGTAACAATGTGAAGCTAACAACCAAGACATCTTCAACAGACAAGAGTATCATGCTAATTTCAATAGGGAAAATATCAATTATAACGGATTGAATCCCTTCACAAAATCTCTAAAAGGGCAAAAGATCATAAATTATATTTGAGGGTTTGCTTTTAAATTTTCTATTTTAATTAAGTACGTCCTCAAAACAAAGAAAATTTAAAAAGTTCCTAGCCCCTATCGTTGTTGGGAAGCCTAACCAATTAGGGGCACTTTGATAATTTTACCCCCAAAGAGGCCTTAACGGATCGACGGAAATACCTTACTTGTTCTTTATTGATATAACGAGCGGTTTGTTCGGTATTTGAAATAAGGAACGATAAGGGGTATTTATGGCATTTGACATGTTCGGTATTTGAAAGAGAAATAATAAAGGGTACTTGTGTTATTTGACATAGAGTTATGTCAAATAACGCAAATACCCCTTATTGTTCCTTATTCAAATACCGAATAAGCTATTATTTATTTCTAATTCTGAACAAGCAGGGGAACTTCTGTCATTTTGTTAAGGCCTCTTTGGGGGTAAAATGTTCAAAGTGCCCCTAATTGTTCAGGCTTCTTAACACGGAACGGGGTTAATTTGTGATCTTTTGACCTCTTTAGTGATTTTTTGGGGGGTCTCAACCCTTTAATTGATACCTTCCCATTTTAAAATACATAATTCATCTATATTTTCCAAATTGGCGTTTGGAATGGCACTCACTAGTGATTCACGGAAAGGCACATACCAAATCACGGTTGATCCAACTTTCCCCAGCCATTATTTGAGTGCTGCAGTCAATGTTTTTTCCATCTAATAATTCGCTATGCCTAGGGATTATACACCAGTTTAACTTACAAAAGGCTTCTTATTGTTTGATAAGCTCAATTGGTGTTAAAACTTGTTAAGAATTAAGATTACAGGATCACTACTCTCTTATCTCGTTGCTGTTGTGATGGTGATTTTCATTTTTCCTGTTCATGTATATTTTCCAGGTACATAAAAGAAGGGAGCACAGTGAGTGTAATGGGAGTGGTCCAACGAAATGAGAATGTACTCATGATTGTCCCTCCTTCAGAGCCTTTCTCCACCGGTTGCCAATGGGCCAAATGCCTCTTCCCCGCAAGTCTTGATGGGATTGTTTTGAGATGCGAGGACAACTCCAAAGCAGATGTCATACCGGTCTAGCTTCTATCCACAAACCCACTCTCTCTCTTTCTCTCTCAGTTTTGGTGCAGTACAAGGGCACCTGCTTAACTTTGGAGTTCAAATGGGATCTAGTGCATTTGTGCTTTAACCATCCTCCTCCCTCTCTCTCTCTCTCTCTCTCTCTCTCTCTCACATGTTTGTGTGCGTATGTATGGAGTTCGATATCCACTAGTTAGTTTCTATAAATTTTACTTGTGGACTTTCCTTGAATCATGTTTGATTATGAAGGAAAGATCCTGCTGTTAACTACTGTATAATTTTTGGACAGGTTTGACAGTTGAGTTGAAGATTCCCCCCAAATCTCTTGGGGTTTATTCCTTGTATAACAATGGCATCTTATTTTTGAAAGTTTTCTTGTGATTTGATGTGTCTTGCACATGCTTATTGTGGTAAACTGCTTTGATATGACATTGTGGCAATATAATATTGAGTTGGATTCCTGATCCCTATGCAATTTTCTACTTAGTTTTGTGATAAAATTTAGTTTGTGATAAAATCACAGACCTGCAGATGAACTTGCATCTAATCACACCTTACAATGCAATTGTATGAAGGAATCAAGCGTGATTAATTGTTGATGTTTGCAGCTTTGCAACACTATGTGCCAAATCGGGCTCCTCCCACGTAACGACCCGAAAAAGAAACAGAGTGAGTTGGGTCACTTGAGTCTGTAGTTAGGGCGTTTGGGCTGCAACACTGTGGTTTGGGCTTGACCAGAGGCCCAGCTTGAAAATATGCTTTCGGGCTTAAACCAACCACCTGGCCCAAAATATTTGGTATAAACCTCCTAGGTCTGGCTCTACCGACCGGATTTCAATCCAATGTAGGCTTGAGCTCGAGCAATTACAAAAGTATAAACTAATAATAATAATAATAATCATAATAATAATAATAATAAGGGATTGTCCCTCTCTCGGAGAGAGAGAGAGAGAGAGAGGAGACGAAGGGAGGAGTCTTTGGTAGGAGAGAGTACGTACGGCAGCGTCTTACAGTCTTTCGGCCTAGAGAGAGAGAGAGAGAGAGAGAGAGAGAGAG